GTTAATGTTAAATCTGTACCCTGGTTAATGTTAAATCTGTACCCTGGTTAATGTTAAATCTGTCCTGAAAACAGGACTTAGTGTTTTAGTTTGTTTGTATTACTATTTTGTTTTGTAATACTCTGGTGTTTTTATTCCTACCTTCCTATAGATAGTGGATCTACAATCTGATGAGAACTGGTGGAAAGCTTTGCATCCGGATAATCCATCGGAACGATTCGGAATGGTTCCAATGAATCGTGTTAAGATGCTGCCACACAAGTGAGCTTAGTGTTATAATTTTCAAAGTTGAATTGTTTTATTATTATCAATTTCAATTGTATTATAATGATCAACTGTATTAATAATTTATTATTTTGGTGATTTTGAATATTTATTATGAATCTATTTTTTTTATTAGAATGAATTTGAATTGTATTACAATTATGATGAATTTGAATTGTTTTATTATCATCAATTTGAATTATTTACCTGGTATTATGATCCATTGGAATTGTATTATAACAATCAATTTGAACAGTGTTGATAATTTTTTATTATGGTGAATTAAATTTGAATATTTTTAGTATGAATGATCAAATTGAGTTTTTTTTATTATCATCAAATCAATTTGTTTTATTAGAATGAATTTGATTTTTTTTACAATTATGATGAATTTGAATTGTTTTATTATGATAAACATAAATCGGATAATAATTCAGTCTGGAATCGGTCTATTTGATGGAATAGAGTCGGCTCTAATACCTACATGTGAAAGCTGCGTTCTGTTTGTGCAATGCTCAATATTTCTTCAATAATTTAATGATTTCATTATCAGAAATGATAAGAAAAAAAACTGATGTTCCTGAATTCAATAATCATTTCATTCATCATCACTAGTAGCTTCCTTGGATGGAGCCTGACAAAGTTTGTGAAAAAATGACTTTGACCTACTTTAAGGTCACATGGATCAAATTTGTCAAAAAATTAAACAACTTCTTCTAAAGAGCCTCGAAGATGGAAGATCCCAATGTGATTTCAGGGTCACCCACTCTCTCATTGGGGAGTTTACTGTATTTTATATAGAAATATAACACTTTATGGTAAAGTTATATTTTTTGTTTGTATTTTCATCTTTTAAGTTAAATCTTATTTTGCTCGTTGTGCCAGTTGGTATGCAGGGAGAATCTCAAGAAAGCAAGCAGAAGACCAACTTTTGAAGGGAAATCTTCCAGATGGAGCTTTTCTTTTAAGGGATAGTGAAAGTTCACCTGGAGACTTTTCTTTATCAGTCAGGTAATCAAAATACTGGTGCATTTTGTAGTTGCGAGATGAAACTTTATCTAATATTTTCTGACATAAAGTTATATCACCATAGTTTAACTTCAACATATATTCTTTTTCTCCTCATCATTGCCTGTCATATTTTTTTCTCTCATAATTTTAGCGTAATGACCTCAAGAGCAAGTGAACTTATGCCTGATGTGGAATCCATTTTCTGTCTTTTTATTTATAATGTTGTCCAGAATGACTCCAGGTTTAAATTTGTTATAGAGCATTCCTTGGCCAAAGGGGATCAATGTTGTTTAAACAAAGAAGGTGACCTCTTGAGAAACTAGTGCAGTGCCCTAGAAGGGAACTGTGACATATCATAATCTTGAAAAGACTTCCTTAATGGATGAAAAGTTTTAAATATAATTTATCTTGAACCATCCTTGGGCCAATGTGATTTTACATAAGAAAAAATGGAAGGTTTGACTCCTTACAAGAGTAACATAGTCGGGTGCCAAAAGGCAGAAATAGGGGTTAAATGTTAAGGCGGTCTTGAATTTTGAGAGTTTTCAAGTTTTCCTTTAAACAACTTCTGAAGAAGAACGAACAGGCCTAGAGTTGTAATATTTGGCTGAAAGCATTGTTGGTAGGAGCCTGACAAAGTTTGAGAACTAAAATGACCTTGACCTACTTTTAAGGTCACAGGGGTCAAATATGTCAAACACTTCAAACGACTTCTTCTGAAGAACTGAAAGGTATAGAATCTTCATATTTGGCTGGTAGCTTCCTGGAATAGAGCCAGACAAAGTTTGAGAATGAAAAGGACCTTGACCTACTTTCAAGGTCACAGGGGTCAAATTTGTCAAACAACTTCTCCTGAAGAACTGAAAGGTATAGAATCTTCATATTTGGCTGGTGGCTTTCTGGGATAGAGCCCGACAAAGTTTGAGAATGATTCAAGGTCTCGGGGTTAAAATGTGTCAAACACTTCAAACGTCTTCCTCCTAAGAACTAAAAGGTATAAAATCTTCATATTTGGTTGTTGGTTTCCTGGGAAAGAGCCCGACAAAATTTGAGAATGAAAATGACCTTGACCTACTGTACTTTCAAGGTCTCAGGGGTCAAATGTGTCAAACACTTCAAATGACTTCTTCTGAAGAACCAAAATTATACAATTGGTGGGGCAGACCCCACAGAGGAATGAGGGGTGGGACTAAAAAGTTTTTTTTTGCTGTATTGCTATAAGCGACTGTTTCTCTGGAACTAAGCAATGGATATCACCAATATTTTGTTGGAAGCATCCCTAGGTGGTGGGGATTAACAACTGTACAAATGGGCAGACTGACCCCCCACCACAGGGTTAAGGGGTGGGGCAAAAAATATTTTTATAACTAGAAAATGGTTCATATCCCCACCATATAACCATAGTATACAATTGCTGAGTATAAAGAGATGAATGCACATATGCTTCCAGGATGGCTCTGGGGTACGGCCCCACCCTTGGAGACTAAGTGCCTAGGTCATAACTTTGAAACAGTTGAGATCTCCATCCCAAAACTAAATATACAATTGCTGGGCATTAGCATTGACCCTTGGGTCTGGCCACACCCGTAGGGACCTAGTTTCTGAGTCACAACTTTGAAAAAGTTGAGATTCCCACCCTATAACCATATATACAATTGCTGAGTATAAAGAGACGAATGCACACATGCTTGAAGAAACAGTTGAGATCCCGAGCCCAAAACTATAAATACAATTGCTTGGCATAAAAAGACAAATGCAGTCATGATATTAAAATTGACCCTGGGGTCCGGCCATAACCCTGGGGACCTAGTTTCTGAGTCACAACTTTGAAGCAGTTGAGATCTCCACCCAATAACCATACATAAAATTGCTGGGCATGAAAAATCAAATACAGATATCTACAAGGATTGGCCTTGGGGTCTGGCCCTATCCCTGGGATCTTATTTGGAGAATATTTTGCCATGATTGCTTAAATATCCAGGTGAGCGACACAGTATTGTATTCAATTTGTTGCACTGCATGTTACTTAAGTATTACTGTATATATATATGTACTGTGCTATTTATTTCCCAATGTAGAAAACGTATTTCGATGAATTATCAAAGAAAAAAATTTTGGTTAGTTGCAAAATATGTTATATAAAATAAAAATGAATTAGAGCAAAACTAAACAGTAACTTGATTTACCCTTTTGTCAAAAATACTGAGTCATTAACTTTACCGAGAGAGTCAGATTGCAGACACATCCATTCCCTTACAATGATAACATACCCTGTCGTCATAAGTGTTAATGTTACCATTATGTGACCAGTGTCTGTGCCTTATAGCACACACAGTAGATTGTGACCAGTGTCTGTGCCTTATAGCACACACTGTAGATTGTGACCAGTGTCTGTGCCTTATAGCACACACAGTAGATTTTGTGGTACTGCTACAGTCCAAAAAGCCGCAATGTATCAATAGAAAATGCTTACAGAATGGTTTTGATGTTTGTTTCTGTTACATTTTTGAATCACAACAGGTTTTGCATGGGATATGCATACTTTTACTAAGACTCACTTCCACTAAGATCATTGCAGACTTATGTGATTACATTCACTACCCAAAAAATGATGACATCAACAAAATTGGGGTATGCATGAAGCAATATGCAAAAGGGCAGGGCAGGTAACCGGTTGATTTTTTTCTTTTTTTCTTTTTGGAATACTTTATTGAAAGAAAATACACAAATTCTTAATGAATTTTATATATTACCTGTATATCATTTCAGATTTAAAAGTAAAATTCAGCATTTCAAAATTTTACGAGATGGATCTGGCAAATTCTTTTTGTGGGTTGTGAAGTTCACCTCCATCAACAAGCTTATAGAACACCACAAAACCTGCTCTGTAAGCCGTACAGAAACCATTCTATTGAAAGACGCACCAAAGGTATGTACAGTCACACAAAATTCAGTTGACATATCAGATATTTGGAGGTAAAATGACTGAATTTATCATTAAAAAGTCAAATATGTGAAGGTAATGTGACTGAGGCCTGAAGGAAAGCCAAAACAGTCAATGTAGTTAGTTTTTAATATGACAATGACAAGTTATATTCTCACAAACTGGTCACATTGTAGAGAATTCATACATACATATCATGGTGTTAATTTAGTGAAATTAATTCTACGTTGTTGACATAATTAAATAATCATGTATTGAACTTGAAAGTACTAAATCTTTTAAAATAATATCTAGGCATAAATTTTCTTCTGTTTTGCAGTATTTGGTGATCATTACAATTAAACAAATAATGATATTCTTCTCCAATTTCATTTAGGTTGTAAAGAATACATTTTCTATCTTCTCTTGGAATGTTATTCCATCTTCCACATTTAATCGGAAATTTAACACAGCAAATTTTAAATATACAATAAACTTTAATTTTGCTAGTCTTGGAGGAAGATCTAGCAGGTATTTTTCTTACACTATCTAACTAAGTCCTGTTTATAGATTCTGTAATTGGTCCCTTTAGGTGAATTAAAAACATCGCTTCTCCAATTATTTATGAATTTATCTTTGTAAGTATCTTATTGTATGGAAAAGTGTATTTTTCAACCATTGGGTAATTTGACATTCTTGTCTTTCAAATATATTTATTAAATTACATTTATCTGGGATATTTTATTTCAAGTCATTCAAAACAAATCACTATGAAAACATATGATATGCAGCACAATATCTATATAATTGTATGATGTTGTTCCTAGTTAATAGTAACTCCATTATTTTATAGGATGGGCAACAAACACAGGAAGTACAGGTAAGCTATTGATCTGTTACATATGACTATTACTATACCTATAATGATCACTTACAGACTTCTACATAATGATCACTTATAAACTTCTACATAATGATCACTTACAGACTACTACATAATGATCACTTATACACTTCTACATAATGATCACTTATAAACTACTACATAAGGATCACTTATAAACTACTACATAATGATCACTTATCGACTACTACATAATGATCACTTATAGACTACTTCATAATGATCACTTATAAACTTCTACATAATGATCACTTACAGACTACTACATAATGATCACTTATACCCTTCTACATAATGATCACTTATAAACTACTACATAAGGATCACTTATAAACTACTACATAATGATCACTTATCGACTACTACATAATGATCACTTATAGACTACTACATAAGGATCACTTATAGACTACTACATAAGGATCACTTATAGACTACTACATAAGGATCACTTATAGACTACTACATAAGGATCACTTATAGACTACTACATAATGATCACTTATAGACTTCTACATAATGATCACTTATAGACTACTACATAATGATCACATATAGACTACTACATAATGATCACTTATAGACTTCTACATAATGATCACTTATAAACTACTACATAATGATCACTTATAACTACTACATAATGATCACTTATAGACTACTTCATAATGATCACTTATACACTACAACATAATGGTCACTTATAGACTACTACATAATGATCACTTATAGACTACTTCATAATGATCACTTATAAACTTCTACATAATGATCACTTATACACTTCTACATAATGATCACTTATAAACTACTACATAAGGATCACTTATAAACTACTACATAATGATCACTTATCGACTACTACATAATGATCACTTATAGACTACTACATAAGGATCACTTATAGACTACTACATAAGGATCACTTATAGACTACTACATAAGGATCACTTATAGACTACTACATAAGGATCACTTATAGACTACTACATAATGATCACTTATAAACTTCTACATAATGATCACTTACAGACTACTACATAATGATCACTTATAGACTACTACATAAGGATCACTTATAGACTACTACATAATGATCACATATAGACTACTACATAATGATCACTTATAGACTTCTACATAATGATCACTTATAGACTTCTACATAATGATCACTTATAGACTACTACATAATGATCACATATAGACTACTACATAATGATCACTTATAGACTTCTACATAATGATCACTTATAGACTACTACATAATAATCACTTATAAACTACTACATAAGGATCACTTATAGACTACGACATAATGATCACTTATAGACTTCTACATAATGATCACTTATAGACTTCTACATAATGATCACTTATAAACTACTACATAATGATCACTTATCGACTACTACATAATGATCACTTATAGACTACTTCATAATGATCACTTATAAACTTCTACATAATGATCACTTACAGACTACTACATAATGATCACTTATAGACTACTACATAATGATCACTTATACACTACAACATAATGATCAATTATAGACTACTACATAATGATCACTTATACACTACTACATAATGATCACTTATAGACTACTCCATAATGATCACTTATAGACTACTCCATAATGATCACTTATAGACTACTCCATAATGATCACTTATAGACTACTCCATAATGATCACTTAAAGACTACTACATAAGCTCTACCCAGAACATCTGGGACTGTACAATCTCTACCCAGAACACCTGGTACTGTCCAATCTCTACCCAGAACATCTGGTACTGTCCTATCTCTACCCAGAACATCTGCTATGATCACTTATAGACTTCTACATAATGATCACTTATAAACTACTACATAATGATCGCTTATAGACTACTACATAATGATCACTTATAGAATTCTACATAATGATCACTTATAGACTACTACATAATCATCACTTATAAACTACTACATAATGATCACTTATAACTACTACATAATGATCACTTATAGACTACTACAGACTGATCACTTATAGACTTCTACATAATGATCACTTATAAACTACTACATAAGGATCACTTATACACTACTACATAATGATCACTTATAGACTTCTACATAATGATCACTTATAAACTACTACATAATGATCACTTATAGACTACTACAGACTGATCACTTATAGACTTCTACATAATGATCACTTATAAACTACTACATAATGATCGCTTATAGACTACTACATAATGATCACTTATAGACTTCTACATAATGATCACTTATAAACTACTACATAATGATCGCTTATAGACTACTACATAATGATCACTTATAGACTTCTACATAATGATCACTTATAGACTAGTACATAAGGATCACTTATAGACTACTACATAATGATCACTTATATACTACATAATGATCACTTATAGACTACTACATATGATCACTTATAGACTACTACATAATGATCACATATAGACTACTACATAATGATCACTTATAGACTACTCCATAATGATCACTTAAAGACTACTACATAAGCTCTACCCAGAACATCTGGGACTGTACAATCTCTACCCAGAACACCTGGTACTGTACAATCTCTACCCAGAACATCTGGTACTGTCCTATCTCTACCCAGAACACCTGGTACTGTCCTATCTCTACCCAGAACATCTGCTGCTGTCCAATCTCTACCCAGAACACCTGGTACTGTCCTATCTCTACCCAGAACATCTGGTACTGTACAATCTCTACCCGGAACACCTGGTACTGTCCAATCTCTACCCAGAACATCTGGTACTGTCCTATCTCTACCCAGAACACCTGGTACTGTCCTATCTCTACCCAGAACATCTGGTACTTTACAATCTCTACCCAGAACACCTGGTACTGTCCAATCTCTACCCAGAACATCTGGTACTGTCCTATCTCTACCCAGAACATCTGGTACTGTACAATCTCTACCCGGAACACCTGGTACTGTCCAATCTCTACCCAGAACATCTGGTACTGTCCTATCTCTACCCAGAACACCTGGTACTGTCCTATCTCTACCCAGAACATCTGGTACTGTACAATCTCTACCCAGAACACCTGGTACTGTACAATCTCTACCCAGAACATCTGGTACTGTCCTATCTCTACCCAGAACATCTGCTATGATCACTTATAGACTTCTACATAATGATCACTTATAGACTACTACATAATGATCACTTATAGACTACTGCATAATGATCACTTGAAGACTACTACATAATGATCACTTATATACTACTACATAATGATCACTTATTGACTACTACATAATGATCACTTATAGACTACTACATAATGATCACTTATAAACTACTACATAATGATCACTTATACACTACTACATAAGGATCACTTATTGACTACTACATAATGATCACTTATAGACTACTACATAAGGATCACTTATAGACTACTCCATAATGATCACTTATAGACTACTCCATAATGATCACTTAAAGACTACTACATAAGCTCTACCCAGAACATCTGGGACTGTACAATCTCTACCCAGAACATCTGGTACTGTCCTATCTCTACCCAGAACATCTGGTACTGTACAATCTCTACCCAGAACACCTGGTACTGTCCAATCTCTACCCAGAACATCTGGTACTGTCCTATCTCTACCCAGAACATCTGCTGCTGTCCAATCTCTACCCAGAACACCTGGTACTGTCCTATCTCTACCCAGAACATCTGCTGCTGTCCAATCTCTACCCAGAACACCTGGTACTGTCCTATCTCTACCCAGAACATCTGGTACTGTCCAATCTCTAACCAGAACACCTGGTACTGTCCAATCTCTAACCAGAACATCTGCTACTGTCCAACCGTTACCTTAAACCACTTTTACTGTCTAACATCTAGCTGATCAAACTTACATTCTTAAAAAAAAATATTTGACGAATACATTTACCTATAAACCAGTAAACTGATGAATTTCCAGATGTTGGCTTTTAAATCAGGAGAAATACAAATAAACAGTAGAAGGATGAAGAAAAAAATCAGAAAAAAATTATGATATTATCAAATCTTACAATCTGTTTTTTGTCATTTCAGAAACCTGAAAAGGTAGTGGAAAAGGTAGCTATGTGTCCTTGATTTCTCTAAGATTTACATTTGTGGTGAACTCAGATTAGTTAATGATGTTGATATCTCAGATAAATTTATATTTCAGGATCAGGATATAGGTCAATCACAAGGCCAAGGAGACATTCATGTCTTAAAAAATGTATACTTGTTTTAATATGGCGTGATTCATAAAGTTGTGTACAAAGATTGTATATAGAAGAAAGTAGACATGGAAATGGTGGTATAAATGGAAACAATGTGTATTTGGTTGGTTTTATGGCCAAAGGAGAGGAAATTAGCCTCAAGCAAACTTTAAATGAACTTCTTCTTTTTAGCTCTCTTCATTTGTGAGAGGCTCGCTTCCCTTCTTTAGGCCATGTAAACAACCAAATATTCCTTAATCAGTCCCCCATCGGTTCCCAGGGATAGATTTGCACTCTATCCATCCATCCAGTCTTCCGTCCAAGAAGTTTGCCCGGACACATCTTCTGTACTATTTCACTTGGAGTAACCAGATTTGGTGTACAAGACATTTTGAGATGACAGAGTGCAGAGTGCAAGAATTAGGTCACTGTGACCTATAACTTGACCTTTGACCTGAACTTTAGAATAAATTGTCCGGGGCATAACTTCTGTACTATTTCACCTGGAGTTGTCAGATTTCACCTGAGTAATCAGATTTGGTATACAAGGACTTCTTGGGATGGCAGAGTGCAAGAATTAGGTCACTGTGACCTATGACTTGACCTTTGACCTCACTTTTAAAAATGTTTGTCCAGGGCATATCTTCTGTACTTTTTCATCTGGAGTTAGCTAGATTTGATGTTCAAGGACATCTTGAGATGACAGAGTGCAAAGTGCAAGAATTAGGTCACTGTGACCTATGACTTGACCTTTGACCTTAACTTTTGAAAAAGTTTGTCCAGGGCATTTCTTCTGTACTTTTTCACCTGGTGTAACCTGATTTGGTGTACAAGGACATCTTGGGATGACGGAGTGCAAGAAGTAGGCAATTTTATCCTCACTGTGACCTATGCTTCCTGACATAAGTGTTATGTTTGTTAAATATAGAAATCATTACCGGTGGGGGACTATAGATTGCCTTGCCATGCTCTGCCTTGTCATGAGTATTCCCTCAAATTTTATTGATGGTTTCAAATTTAAACAAGGAATAATAGAATTTGTTAGATCTGTTTTTGTCAAATTTCAAGTCAGGTATTATTTATAAATGTATTTGATGGTAACGATTTTCTACAGTTCTTTGTGAAAATCTACTTGCTAGGAGCATGATTCATGGCTGCAATCTTCACATGTTTAAAAGATTGAGTTTTACAGATTAACACAAGTATTATGATGTTTTATGAATTCCTTGGTAAGTGATATGAAGCTCAATCACAAAAAGAAATTCTTGTTAAGAATATCTCTACAGTATGAAAATCCTCTACGATGAACCGTTATAAACAGTTTAAAATTTGTGTATTTGTACAGGTTACCTGTTTGTACAGTTTAAAATTTGTGTATTTGTACAGGTTACCTGTTTGTACAGTTTAAAATTTGTGTATTTGTACAGGTTACCTGTTTGTATGACTTCAACCCCGCGGATGAGGAAGAGCTCAAGTTTTCGAAGGGAGATATACTTGAGGTACTGGAGAAAGACCTGGACTCTTGGTGGAAAGGGAAACACACGAAAACAGGACAAACTGGACTTTTCCCTATCAATTATGTCAAACTTAAGTAACACACTGACAGCAGCGTGATTTTAAATGTTTGAACTACTGTTGATGTAATCATTGACAACCACTCTTGAAAACAAGAAAACTATTTACTTGCCTTGAATAGTCTGCACCAACAACAAAATTGGGGATTTTAGTAGTTTACAAACAGAGATCTGGTGGAGCAGAAATGTGTATTACAACGTCCAGTAGTCTTCTTTAATTTGCTGTTTTGTTTGTGACATTTGGATTGTAAGAAGATGTTTTGATACTATATCATCCTGTATGTCACAGCTCCAGTGTGTTGCTATGTGATAATGTATGGGCCTATATGTCACAGCTCCAGTATGTTGCTATGTGATAATGTATGGGCCTGTATGTCACAGCTCCAGTGTGTTGCTATGTGATAATGTATAGGCCTGTATGTCACAGCTCCAGTATGTTGCTATGTGATAATGTATGGGCCTATATGTCACAGCTCCAGTGTGTTGCTATGTGATAATGTATAGGCCTGTATGTCACAGCTCCAGTATGTTGCTATGTGATAATGTATGGGCCTATATGTCACAGCTCCAGTATGTTGCTATGTGATAATGTATGGGCCTATATGTCACAGCTCCAGTGTGTTGCTATGTGATAATGTATAGGCCTGTATGTCACAGCTCCAGTATGTTGCTATGTGATAATGTATGGGCCTATATGTCACAGCTCCAGTATGTTGCTATGTGATAATGTATGGGCCTATATGTCACAGCTCCAGTGTGTTGCTATGTGATAATGTATAGGCCTGTATGTCACAGCTCCAGTATGTTGCTATGTGATAATGTATGGGCCTATATGTCACAGCTCCAGTATGTTGCTATGTGATAATGTATGGGCCTATATGTCACAGCTCCAGTGTGTTGCTATGTGATAATGTATAGGCCTGTATGTCACAGCTCCAGTATGTTGCTATGTGATAATGTATGGGCCTATATGTCACAGCTCCAGTATGTTGCTATGTGATAATGTATGGGCCTATATGTCACAGCTCCAGTGTGTTGCTATGTGATAATGTATAGGCCTGTATGTCACAGCTCCAGTATGTTGCTATGTGATAATGTATGGGCCTATATGTCACAGCTCCAGTGTGTTGCTATGTGATAATGTATAGGCCTGTATGTCACAGCTCCAGTATGTTGCTATGTGATAATGTATGGGCCTATATGTCACAGCCATAGTGTGTTGCTATGTGATAATGTATAGGCCTGTATGTCACAGCTCCAGTATGTTGCTATGTGATAATGTATAGGCCTATATGTCACATCTCCAGTTACTCCCATAACATGAGAGGCCGCTGGTCGGCCTTTTTTCAATCGGATATGATTTTGCCGACTGCGACCTCTCATTTCCGACGCACTAATTCTTTGATGCAGTTTCCGCCCGAAATCCGGGCGGAACAAAATCGGCTTGAAAAAATCACTTAAGTGGGTAACAGGTCATGACAACAATGTCTACTCACGGTTTATATAATATAGATCTCATATGTATGTCACAGACACAAATATATAGTATATTACGGAATAGAACACTCAAAATACATGTCCATGTCGTTGTAGCACATCTCTGACCTACATTTTAAACATGGCTTCTGGATTAATACAAAATAGCAGGGGGGATTTTAAACAGAACGAAATGATACAGAGTTTGTTTGTATTCCGCTTGTGAAACATTACATGTAATCCATTTTTGTATTTACCAGAAAAATCATGGCAAATGCTGTCTGCTTCGCTTCGAATGAGGAAAAACTCATTATTTATGTCTTTGACACTCAATTTTTCTCATATAATCATGGATTTATGGAAAGGAATATTTATTGGACCCTTTTGACCATTTAAATGTATGTAAACACGATATACACTTTCTTAATCCGAACTTTGAAAATGTGATCGTCAGCATCGGGAAAATCAGCTATGGGCAGTTAGAGGTTACGCGGCGCCTGTCAAAAGTTTTTCGCCGTGTAAAACCTCTAACATTGTTGGAGTAATCTCCAGTATGTTGCTATGTGATAATGTATGGTCTGTATGTCACAACTCCAGTATGTTGCTATGTGATTTTGTATCGGCCTGTATGTCACATCTCCAGTATGTTGCCATGTGATAATGTATCATCCTGTATGTCACAGCTCCAGTTTGTTGCTATTTGATAATGTATGGGCCTGTATAACACAACTCCAGTATGTTGCCATGTGATAATGTATCATCCTGTATGTCACAACTCCAGTATGTATGTTGCTATGTGATAATGTATGGGCCTGTATGTCACAACTCCAGTGTGTTGCTATGTGATAATATATCATCCTGTATGTCACAACTCCAGTATGTTGCTATGTGATAATGTATGGGCCTGTATGTCACAGCTCCAGTATGTTGCTATGTGATAATATATGGGCCTGTATAACACAACTCCAGTATGTTGCTATGAGATAATGTATGGGCCTGTATGTCACAGCTCCAGTGTGTTGCTATGTGATAATATATCATCCTGTATGCCACAACTCCAGTATGTTGCTCTGAGATAATGTATGGGCCTGTATGTCACAACTCCAGTATGTTGCTATGTGATAATGTATGGGCCTATTTGTCACAGCTCCAGTATGTTGCTATGTGATAATATATGGGCCTATATATGTCACAACTCCAGTATGTTGCTATGTGATAATGTATGGGCCTGTATGTCACAGCTCCAGTATGTTGCTATGTGATAATGTATAGGCCTGTATGTCACAGCTCCAGTATGTTGCTATGTGATAATATATGGTCCTATATATGTCACAACTCCAGTATGTTGCTATGTGATAATGTATGGGCCTGTATGTCACAGCTCCAGTGTGTTGCTATGTGATAATGTATGGGTCTGTATGTCACATGTATGGCCTGTTTGTCACAGCTCCAGTGTGTTGCTATGTGATAATATATCATCCTGTATGCCACAACTCCAGTATGTTGCTCTGTGTTAATGTATGGGCTTCATTGTGAATTACATGTATGTTCTAGGTTAAACAAAGGACTTTGGACTGTGAAATAAATGTTCCTTACAAATGTATCTAAGAACATTGAACTCTTCAGATATTGTGTTTTCATATTGATATATACCCATTACAAGAGATATATTTTCTCAATTTTTACAGACAAGAACGTCTATAATTACCTGTATCGGAAGATAGAATTATTTGTTTATGGCAAAAATAATACATTTATCATGATGATGTCCATGAATGTTATACTTTTTCACTGCATGTTTTTGAATATGCAGATCAAAGTTCACTACATTGTTCTCACCAAGATCATCAGATGGCTTGTGATCTGTGAGATTGTTCTCACCAAGATCATCAGATGGCTTGTGATCTGTGAGACAGTTTAAGATTCAATCCTATCTGATCAGAAGAGACTGACATTGGTTATAATTGATAACATCAATGTTCCCGTAGATTATTACACACATTGATATATAGATTGCAGGTTCTCTTTTTGCCATACAGGGTGTGGTATGTGACCAGCTCAGTTTATCAGGGAAACTGTGTGGTCTATGTTTGTAGTGTTTTTAAGTTGATGCAATCAAGTTATAGAGTCAGTCAATCATACAGACACCATAACTGCTTGACAAATAGCTTTTTATAGGGTCATACTTTGTTTATAGGATCATACTTTGTTTATAGGGTCATACATTGTTTATAGGACTTTGTTTATAGGATCATACTTTGTTTATAGGATCATACATTGTTTATAGGGTCATACTTTGTTTATAGGATCATACTTTGTTTATGGGATCATACTTTGTTTATATGATCATACTTTGTTTATAGGATCATACTTTGTTTATAGAATCATACTTTGTTTATAGGGTCATACTTTTTTTTATAGGATCATACTTTGTAAAATTCATCACAACTTTTACAATTAAACCTAAGTCTGAACTTGATGGATAAAATAACTTTGTCCAGAGAGCTGCCCAGGTACTGCACCCATAAAACTGTGTTAGCCATAGCAGATTGATTGGTTTTGACATAGTACTACTACTACCAACTTTTTGAGGTCTGCTGGTTTCCTCACAGTGCTACCAAAACTAGGGAATCACAGCAGATGGATACTGGCTTCTGTAAACAATTGTCCATATATGTTCAGTATCTATAAACTGAAACTATGAACCAGTAACTTACAATTTCTGGGACAGGAATTATGATTAATGAAAGAAGATTGTTATATATAATATCAGGGGTGTTGAAAAACATTACAATGCACTTTCCCGGCCAGCAGACAGTTTTCTTACTAAATTTCAGTATGTTGAAACTATATAATTCTAAGGTTTAAGTGAGCTAAATAATGTACTTACCATTGGCAATAGTATATAATTTTGTTCTTGTATTTAGCAAGTAGATTTTTACAGTTCTGAAATTCTCTTTCCCATGCATCACATACAAGCTAAAGCACAAGGAGTGATGTTAAAAGTATGACTGAAGTCAATCCTAACTGTTATGTAAGCATGTGGGTTGTATATGACGTCACACTTCAACGTGACCGGGTTAACTGGCAAAGTTCAGGGATCATAGGTCGCAGTAGTCTACAGCTATAGCTGATGCTGTAGGCAATACTTCTAAACAATAACAGTGGATTTTTAACTACTGTTAACAATTCCTAATATCAAGCTATAGTATTCTATATTAAATGGTCCAGTTCCTAAAAACAATTACTTATAGAAGGTGTGAGATATGTTTGTTACATGTTAAAATGTATATATCTTAAAACTATATGTATATAAATGTATATTGTATTAAAGATGTTTTCATTGGTAGTTGGTAAGAGTCTTCAAGTACTGATGTTTTCATTGGTAGTTGGTAAGAGCCTTCAAGTACTGATGTTTTCATTGGTAGTTGATAAGAGCCTTCAAGTACTGCTTTCCTTAAGTCTTCTTGCTCACCTGTCCAACTTTTGTACATATCCTCTTGTTTTATTGTTTTGTAAATGGTGATATAAGTACCTTTTTTTAGCTCACCTGGCCCAAAGGGCAAAGTGAGCTTATGCCGTGGTGCTGCGTTTGTCGTCCATACGTCGTCAATATTTTACTTTAAACATGGTCTTCTGAATAACCAAGAGGCCTCGGCTGATGATATTTGGCCAGTAGCATGCTGGGATGAAGGGCTACCAAGTTTGTCCAAATGAATGACCTTGACCCACTTTCAAGGTCACAGGGGTCGAATATTTTAAAATTTTCAAACAACTTCTTCTCAATAACCAAAAGGCCCAGGGTACTGATATTTGGCCTGTACCATGCTGGGATGTAGGCTACCAAGTTTGTTCAAATGAATGACCTTGACCAACTTTCAAGGTCACATGTCTTAAAATCTTCAAACAACTTCTTCTCAATACCCAAAAGGCCCAGGGTACTGATATTTGGCCTGTAGCATGCTGGGATGAAGGACTACCAAGTTTGTTCAAATGAATGACCTTGATTCACTGTCAAGGTCACAGGGGTCAAATATGTTAAAATCTTCAAACAACTTCTTCTCAATAACCAATAGGCCCAGGGTACTGATATTAAGCATGTAGCATGCTGGGATGAAGGGCTACTAAGTTTGTTCAAATGAATGACCTTGACCCATTTTCAAGGTCACATGTGGTCAAATGTCGTAAAATCTGCAAACCACTTCTCAATAACCAAAAGGCCCAGGGTACTGATATTGGGCCTGTAGCATGCTGAGATGAAGGACTAACAAGTTTGTTCAAATGAATGATCTTGACCCACTTTTAACCTAATGTCTTGGTTCAACATTCAAGGTCACAGGCGTCATATGTTTAAATATTTTAATTGGTTCTTATGAATGAAACACTGATATTCTGCCTGTAGCTGTATTTTAGTCCACTTTTAAGATTACAAGTGTGAGATTAATACCAGGTGAGCGATGCAGGCCCATTCGGCCTCTTGTTTAAATTCAGAATCTTAATAATTTACCATTCCTCAGCAACGAAGTTAAGTGGAGGTATACTGGAATCAGCTTGTCAATCTGTCTGTCTGGCTGTTGATGAGTTCTTCCATATAACACCTAAAATGTCAAGCCTTTACAACTTAACTTTTTTATGCATGGTTGGAAATTATTTTTTTGTTTTAGTTTCAAATTTTTTCCCCAGAGTTATTGTCTTTTTTTTTTCTTTTCATTACTAATTTCATGCTCTATCAAGACATATTTAGGAAAACTATGTGACTAATTACTATAAATCTTTCTGGGAATGAAACATACAATTTAGGAATTTAAATTAACATCAAATAGCCAACTCTTCATTTTGGGATTCAAGATGGCCACCATAGTCTCTGATTGGACGTGGCAATAACAGTCATAGCTTGTTTACTATCGGGCCAGCGTTGTTGATACATTGTTGAAATGAAAAATAAGGGATATGAATTTATATTTAAAGGATGACTGTTAAATATGGTCATTATGACCTCTGATTGGCTCCGACATTAAAAACAGAAGTAGTATCTATACATTCAATATCTATATACATACAACTTCAGTAGTATCTATATACATACAACCTCAGTAGTATCTATATACATACAACCTCAGTAGTATCTATATACATACAACCTCAGTAGTATCTATATACATACAACTTCAGTAGTATCTATATACATACAACCTCAGTAGTATCTATACACATACAACTTCAGTAGTATCTATATACATACAACTTCAGTAGTATCTATATACATACAACCTCAGTAGTATCTATATACATACAACCTCAGTAGTATCTATATACATACAACCTCAGTAGTATCTATATACATACAACTTCAGTAGTATCTATATACATACAACCTCAGTAGTATCTATATACATACAACCTCAGTAGTATCTATATACATACAACCTCAGTAGTATCTATATACATACAACTTCAGTAGTATCTATATACATACAACCTCAGTAGTATCTATATACATACAACCTCAGTAGTATCTATATACATACAACCTCAGTAGTATCTATATACATACAACCTCAGTAGTATCTATATACATACAACCTCAGTAGTATCTATATACATACAACTTCAGTAGTATCTATACACATACAACTTCAGTAGTACCTATACACATACAACTTCAGTAATATCTATACACATACTACCTATATACATACAACTTCAGTAGTATCTATATACATACAACCTCAGTAGTATCTATATACATACAACCTCAGTAGTATCTATATACATACAACCTCAGTAGTATCTATATACATACAACTTCAGTAGTATCTATATACATACAACCTCAGTAGTATCTATATACATACAACCTCAGTAGTATCTATATACATACAACCTCAGTAGTATCTATATACATACAACTTCAGTAGTATCTATATACATACAACCTCAGTAGTATCTATATACATACAACCTCAGTAGTATCTATATACATACAACCTCAGTAGTATCTATATACATACAACCTCAGTAGTATCTATATACATACAACCTCAGTAGTATCTATATACATACAACCTCAGTAGTATCTATATACATACAACTTCAGTAGTACCTATATACATACAACCTCAGTAATATCTATATACATACAACTTCAGTAATATCTATACACATACAACTTCAGTAGTACCTATACACATACAACTTCAGTAATATCTATACACATACAACCTATATACATACAACCTCAGTAATATCTATATACATACAACTTCAGTAATATCTATACACATACAACTTCAGTAGTACCTATACACATACAACTTCAGTAATATCTATACACATACAACCTATATACATACAACCTCAGTAGTATATATATACATACAACTTCAGTAATATCTATACACATACAACTTCAGTAGTACCTATACACATACAACTTCAGTAATATCTATATACATACAACTTCAGTAATATCTATACACATACAACCTCAGTAATATCTATATACATACAACTTCTGTAGTATCTATATACATACAACCTCAGTAATATCTATATGCATACAACTTCAGTAATATCTATATACATACAACCTCAGTAATATCTATACACATACAACCTCAGTAGTATCTATATACATACAAAGTAGTATATACATTGTATAACCATTCACATAACCTGAAGAGCCCTGTGAAGGGTGAAAGCAGCTAGTTTTTTAGTCGGTCGTTAATTTTTTTTTTCTATATTTACCTCCTTCACATGGACATTTAATCACTTTTTATCATACAAAGTAGTATCTATATACATACAACTTCAGTAGAGTTTCCAGACATGTTTGCTTCAGATACTCCATCCTGTTGAACAACATGTCTACACCTAACTACAGTATTTAACAACATGTCTACACCTAACTACAGTATTTAACAACATGTCTACACCTAACTACAGTATTTAACAACATGTCTACACCTAACTACAGTATTTAACAACATGTCTACACCTAACTACAGTATTTAACAACATGTCTACACCTAACTACAGTATTTAACAACATGTCTACACCTAACTACAGTATTTAACAACATGTCTACACCTAACTACAGTATTTAACAACAAATATAACATGTCCTGCAAGTAGGGGATATCAATTCCTATTATTGAGGCCAAAGTTTGTCTGGAAGCAGGGCACTTTCGTGTTTGCCTGCAAAAATGTTCTTTTTTATTCGAGAATGTTGCTAAGAGGATGTAATGCTGTGGTTTGTTTTGAAGGTTTTGAAGAGGGATTTTTTTATTACATATAACAGAATTATAATGTATAGTTACTAGTAAACACTATCTGTATTTAATAAGGATAATAAAGTAATGACCATTCCACAATGGTGTACATGTTTTCTTTACTGAATGTACTCCGGACTTAGTGCCATTATGATATACCAATGGATTACATCCCCAAAATATATGTATTAAAAGGAAGAAAATTGCAGATTTAATACAGGTTATCTGTGATAGGGATGTTCCCTTATTTATCGTATGTGGGACACCTAGTACGTTAGGTGGGGTTAAAACCAGATCTGCCGGTCATTCCTTCTATTAAATCACTTTGAAAATTAAATAGATGGAGGGTCTCTGAACAAGTGCCTCCCACCCCTCCCTTATGGTTTATTCTAGAACAGCCCTAATTTTTAGCTCACCTGCCCAAAGGGCAAGTGAGCTTATGCCATGGTGCGGTGTCCGGCGTCAACTTTTTACTTTAAACAACTTCTTTTCAGTAACCAAAAGGCCTAGGATGATGATATTTGGCCAGTAGCATGCTAGGATCAAGGACTACCAAGTTTGTTCAAATAAATGACCTTGACCCACTTTCAAGGTCACAGGGGTCAAATATGTTAAAATCTTCAAACAACTTCTTCTCAATAACCTAAAGGCCCAGGGTACGAATATTAGGCCGGTATTATTCCGGGATGAGGGACTTCCAAGTTTGTTCAAATGAATGACCTTGACCAACTTTCAAGGTCAAATGTCTTAAAATCTTCAAACAACTTCTTCTCAATAACCGAAAGGCCCAGGGTACTGATATTGGGCCTGTAGCATCCTGGGATGAAGGGCTACTAAGTTTGTTCAAATGAATGACCTTGACCAACTTTCAAGGTGACAGGGGTCAAATGTCTTAAAATCTTCAAACGACTTCTTCTCAATAACCAAAAGGCCCAGGGTACTGAAATTGGGCCTGTAGCATGCTGGGATGAAGGACTACCAAGTTAGTTCAAATGAATGACCTTGATCCACTTTCAACCTAATGTCCTTGTTTAATTGTGTCAGCGTCACTCTGCTACATTTACCTTTACACCCTGAAATCTCATACACACGCAGGTTTTGCATCAAATATAACCTAAAACTTAAAAGTATTATGTTTCCTATAGAAAGGCTATTACATATAACGGTCTTTCTTTGTCTGTTGTCATATGTAGATAAAGCATAATAATGAAATTTGATCCTTGGCCGAAGTTGGAGATATATGACAAAGCTGTCACGAAAAATATTTAGCCAGTATTATATGCTAGGATTAAAGGCTAACAAGTTTAACATACATGTTACAGGGCAAAAATAATAACAACCTTCGGACCTCTTGGTTTTTCAGATGAAGGCATTTAAAAGTGTTTAACTTTTGACCCATGTGACCATGAAAAATGATCATGGTCATTTATTTGAACGAACGTGATAGCTCTTCATCCCAGCATGCTACTGGCCAAATATATAGTATGACACTAGGCTTCATTCAGAAGAAATTATTTAAATATTGAACACATCTGATCCCTTAAACCTTTGATATGGCTGAAAGTCATTCATTTGAAAAAAATTGAAAGGGCAAATATCATCACTCTAGTATTTTTAGCTCACTTTTTACTTTAAAATGATTTCTTATAGCCAACAGGCCTCGGGTGATGCTATTTGGCCAGTAACATGCTGGGGAAAAGGTCTATCAAGTTTGATCACGGGAATGACCTTGAACCACTTTCAAGTCAAAATTGGCCAAATTATTTTCAACTAATAACTATAACTTAAAATATCTTGCAAATATTCCTGTCATTGCCCTTGCCAAAGTTGTTGTTTTCTGTCATTGATTCGATAAGAAATCTAAGAATGCCACTATGGTCTCAAATTAGCTGAAGACTCGAACCTCTTTTCTAGATCAGAATACAAAAGAAACAGGTGAGTAATATCAACCAGAGGGACCTTTTCTTACAACTATTTGTGCTGATGTATCTGATATAGTTATTAAGCCACTGCTTCAGCTCATAAACCTTCAGAAGGGTAAGCTTATCAAAAATCAAGAGTAAAACTTTCAACAGCACATGCAAGAATGTTATTTCAAATATACAGCTCAAGTATGTAAACTACAGTTCTACATTAAATGATAGCATTCTTTGTATTGGGTGAAAAGAAACAACAAATACTGCCAGTAGATCCCAGGTTTTAATGTGAATATTTTGTCCCCAGTTGGTGCCCAGACAATGGTGGTCACCAGCCCATACAAGTCAATGTAACCTTATTTTTTTTTGTCCCACTGTCACTCCCACTCAGGATTTCAAATGTAAAACATAACATATGGCTTGCTTAAAATTAAACCAATCTGATTAAAATTAGACCACATATCAACATACACGACGCTAATCTGTCCTACTTCATTTGTAAAGTCGACGTACTAGGACTGTTGCTTGAGTGTTATTTGGCATATTATTGATGCACGACAGAAATTAATCAACATTATACAAAATTTAAGTTTACTATATAAGATGTATTGTCATACTGACTCAAATGCAAAGTAATATACATAACGTAGCAACATGTAAGATCTTACCTTGATCTAGATTGAGGCGATCTCAAAAAGGTTTTAAAACATGAACAAAGAGGGAAAGGTCTAAAATTGTTCATCTGGTAAATAAAATGTTACATATGAAATAACAAAACAAATGTAGCATTGCCATTGATGTTATAAAGATGTAGCACTAACAGTAAGCTGAATTCTATAGACATCAGTTGTACCATCACAGACATGTTCAACTAGACCACAGTTGTACCATCACAGACATGTACAACTAGACCACAGTTGTACCATCACAGACATATACAACTAGACCACAGTTGTACCATCACAGACATGTACAACTAGGCCACAGTTGTACCATCACAGACATGTACAACTATACCACAGTTGTACCATCACAGACATGTACAACTAGGCCACAGTTGTACCATCACAGACATGTACAACTATACCACAGTTGTACCATCACAGACATGTACAACTATACCACAGTTGTACCATCACAGACATGTACAACTAGGCCACAGTTGTACCATCACAGACATGTACAACTAGGCCACAGTTGTACCATCACAGACATGTACAACTAGGCCACAGTTGTACCATCACAGACATGTACAACTATACCACAGTTGTACCATCACAGACATGTACAACTAAACCACAATTGTACCATCACAGACATGTACAACTAGACCACAGTTGTACCATCAGACATGTACAACTAGACCACAATTGTACCATCACAGACATATACAACTAGACCACAATTGTACCATCACAGACATGTACAACTAGACCACAGTCGTACTATCACAGACATGTACAACTAGACCACAGGTGTACCATCACAGACATGTACAACTAGACCACAGTTGTGCTATCACAGACATGTACAACTAGACCACAGTTGTACTATCACAGACATGTACAACTAGACCACAGGTGTACCATCACAGACATGTACAACTAGACCACAATTGTACCATCACAGACATATACAACTAGACCTCAGTTGTACCATCACAGACATGTTCAACTAGTCCACAGTTGTACCATCACAGACATGTACAACTAGGCCACAGTTGTACCATCACAGACATGTACAACTAGACCATAGTTGTACCATCACAGACATGTACAACTAGACCATAGTTGTACCATCACAGACATGTACAACTAGACCATAGTTGTACCATCACAGACATGTACAACTAGACCACAATTGTACCATCACAGACATATACAACTAGACCTCAGTTGTACCATCACAGACATGTTCAACTAGTCCACAGTTGTACCATCACAGACATGTACAACTAGAGCACAGTTGTACCATCAGAGACATGTACAACTAGACCACAATTGTACCATCACAGACATGTACATCTAGACCTCAGTTGTACTATCACAGACATGTACAACTAGACCACAGTTGTACCCTCACAGACATGTACAACTAGACCACAGTTGTACAATCACAGACATGTACAACTAGACCACAGTTGTACTATCACAGACATGTACAACTAGACCACAGGTGTACCATCACAGACATGTACAACTAGACCACAGTTGTCCCATCACAGACATGTACAACTAGACCACAGTTGTCCCATCACAGACATGTACAACTAGACCACAGTTGTACTATCACAGACATGTACAACTAGACCACAGGTGTACCATCACAGACATGTACAACTAGACCACAGTTGTCCCATCACAGACATGTACAACTAGACCACAGTTGTACCATCACAGACATATACAACTAGACCACAGTTGTACCATCAAAGTAAGAATTTAACTTGGCTCTGACTTTCATTCCTTTATTATGCTAATTCCACGTGTATCTCTTGCCATCCATCCAGCTAACACACCTGTCATCATTGCCAAATTTGCAGACCAATCTATGTTATTGCTCTTATTTCCAAATTTTGAAGACAAAAAGGTTCTTTAACCAATTACGTCTGTTTATCATATTTATCTTCCTACTTAGTTCCCATCATGTGCAGCAGTGCATCTTGGAGATGTGTTTGAAAGGGACAGAGTCACATACCTTCATAAATGTTAAAATGTGCATTTCAACCCTTCTACAGTAAAACGATGACATACTGCCGCTTGTTTAATTTGCCTCCTCAGCCTACTGCAAACATATGTCAAAGTCAAGGTCCCTCTATTCATTTTAACCTTTCCTTTATACTTCTCCCTCAATTATTGCCAAACCTCTTTATAAGGCTTAATTTTGGACAAATTAAAATGGTGGCAGTATAACAAGTTTAGTGTATTTACATTCACAACAGTAAACCACTTGTGAGCAGAGTCAATGACTCTATGTATAACAATGATATTATTATTATGGTTAATTTTCTTATAAAAACATGTACTCTCTTACCCATACTCGCACACCAAACAACTCACTCTCTTTTTGTACTTGCACACCAACCAACTCACTCTCTTTTTGTACTCGCACACATTATTATAATAAATGTACTCTATCAAAACAAGTTCTTAATGGATAAACATCTTATTATAATGAAATAATTTAAACATTATCAAAACAAATTAATTTAATTGGATAAACAGCTTGAAAGAATCAAATCATCTAAACATAGTACATTTTATATTGTCCCTATGTGAAGAGTTTACAACTCCACAATTAATCAACAACTATTATTATCACTTCAAGCATAACTGACCCACAATATTTCCTCAATTAAACCAACACGTGTGTATGAGGCAAAACAAAACTAAGTAAAGCAACTACCCACTTGATTGTACAGATTACACAGGTTAAAATGGTACACGTGATAAACCTACACTAAGTATAAAGTAGTGTCTCAATGGGCCACCCAATAATTCCTATTATCATCCTAGTGACCAGTTCCCAGGGGGACAACCATCTCTATTATCAGCCTAGTGACCAGTTCCCAGGGGGACATCCATCTCTATTATCATCCTAGTGACCAGTTCCCAGGGGGACATCTATTCCTATTATCATCCTAGTGACCAGTTCCCAGGGGGACATCTATTCCTATTATCATCCTAGTGACCAGTTCCCAGGGGGACACCCATTTCTATTATCAGCCTAGTGACCAGTTCCCAGGGGGACATCTATTCCTATTATCAGCCTAGTGACCAGTTCCCAGGGGGACACCCATTTCTATTATCAGCCTAGTGACCAGTTCCCAGGGGGACACCCATTTCTATTATCAGCCTAGTGACCAGTTCCCAGGGGGACATCTATTCCTATTATCAGCCTAGTGACCAGTTCCCAGGGGGACATCTATTCCTATTATCAGCCTAGTGACCAGTTCCCAGGGGGACATCTATTCCTATTATCATCCTAGTGACCAGTTCCCAGGGGGACACCCATTTCTATTATCAGCCTAGTGACCAGTTCCCAGGGGGACACCCATTTCTATTATCAGCCTAGTGACCAGTTCCCAGGGGGACATCTATTCCTATTATCAGCCTAGTGACCAGTTCCCAGGGGGACATCTATTCCTATTATCATCCTAGTGACCAGTTCCCAGGGGGACACCCATTTCTATTATCAGCCTAGTGACCAGTTCCCAGGGGGACACCCATTTCTATTATCAGCCTAGTGACCAGTTCCCAGGGGGACACCCATCTCTATTATCAGCCTAGTGACCAGTTCCCAGGGGGACATCTATTCCTATTATCAGCCTAGTGACCAGTTCCCAGGGGGACATCTATTCCTATTATCATCCTAGTGACCAGTTCCCAGGGGGACACCCATTTCTATTATCAGCCTAGTGACCAGTTCCCAGGGGGACACCCATTTCTATTATCAGCCTAGTGACCAGTTCCCAGGGGGACACCCATCTCTATTATCATCCTAGTGACCAGTTCCCAGGGGGACACCCATCTCTATTATCAGCCTAGTGACCAGTTCCCAGGGGGACAACCATCTCTATTATCAGCCTAGTGACCAGTTCCCAGGGGGACATCTATTCCTATTATCAGCCTAGTGACCAGTTCCCAGGGGGACATCTATTCCTATTATATGATCACTCTTTAATATTCTCCTGATAATTACTTGCATAATAATGGTTTGAAACAATTTTCACATAAATTTCTTAACCCTTTTTTATTGTCATAAATATTGCAACAATGTACAAAAACAAAAACAAAATAATAAATAAATAACTAAATGATAGTACAGTTTTGTAATTACATAGAAAAGATTATTGGAATAGATTACTATATACATTATGTATATGTAATTGTCATTGTGTTGAGTATTTATATTCTTTACAATAGAAATAAAAATCATAAATTCCATGTATACTACTGCCTGCTGGGGAAATAGGTAACAGCCATGGACATCATTGTCTTCACAGAATCATCTGATGAAAATAAAATACTGCAAGTCCCCGAAATATTTACTGATTCATACTTATTGAGTTTAAGAATTGATGCACTACCAACATAGAATCACAATCCTACGTTACCAACAGGACCCAGTCAAACCTGATCAATCAGCTTGTACAAAACAAGAACAACACGCTGTACAACTATATTTTAAGGATTTGATTAAACATTTTGAAAGAAAGATTCATACATGCAATTCAATTAGATCACATATCAATTTTTGCAGTTAATGTTTCTGCAAAAACAGAAAGGATTCAAAGCCAGAAGTCTAGGAGGACACTCTACAAATCAAGGAACCTGTCATCAGGAAATACTTGCTACTGTGATAAGTTAAAGAGTATCAGTGCTAGTGCTAGTGACTTGCTCTTAAACTTTTGACATCAATAACGGTATTGATCTTTGAACAAAAGTTTACGTAGCAAAGTATGTGAAGTACTTGTAGGTTGGACATACCTTTCAACATAATAGAAATAAAACTAAGAAATATATATTTTTCCTAAATAAACTAGAAAAAACAAACCATAAATAATTTGTAAAAAACATTAACATGGAGCATGAAGCTCATAAATAACACAAACAACAGGAAGGTAAGAAGCTGGGTCATAAATATACAGCAGATATAAGGAAGATTGTTTTCACCACATCTATAGCAAAAGTAAAGGTTAATACAAAATGACTGGCGACTCTGACAGGTTACTCGACAGGCAGCAATGGTTTGTAATTCTACATGTAACCATATACCTCTGGTAATGAACAATTAATAATCACACACAATATCATACTCTCTTTCAAAATCACAGCCTTTCATTAAGAAAAAACTAACGGATATTGCTTTTGACCTAGTATCATATATTATGACAATAATTATGTAAAGATGGGAATGTAACAGATGATGAAATGTACAATTCACTATCTCAGCAGAAAGGGAGAAAGAAGACCAATGTCTGATACTTGATTTCTTCTACAGAGTTGACAGGTTTTTAACTTTTCTTTAGATACATTCATCATTTCTTTACAAACCATTTAATATATTACTTCTAAGAAACAAAAAAATATAATATATCACAGAAAAGACAAATGGTAAACAAAACCCTTGCATAAGTATCAGACTCTTCTGGATTAAAAAGCACAATGAACACTGCTTTAGATACATAGAAGCCAGTCAAGACAATATGATGCGTTTGACTACGGAACAGGTAGCAACATAAGGTGCTTGTCAATAATTTGGATGGAACCAAAAAGTTTAAAATATAAATGAAACACTTTAAATTTGTTACCCTCTTGTTGGCAGAACAACATATATAGGATGTTACTAGCATACAATTGTCATTTGATAAACACGTTTGTGTTCTTCCAAGCAAATATTTTGAACCATGATACAGACCGAAATGCAAGAAGTTCATTTACATCAATTTCCCCAAAAAAAGTTTTATTCCTCTAAGAAATATAAGCAAGCATGTACAACAAAGTGTAAAAGACCAGGATACTTGAACTTCCCTACAAAATAATTGTGAATGAAAACTACAACAAAACAGCACTGTTCTGAGTCTCTGAAGTGTCTGTACATCATAACTGTTGAACAGATGAAGTTTTCTGTAAAATAATTCTCAGATCCTTGCAGTTGCAGCCAATTCTTCCTGATGCTCCGGCCCAGATTGAAGTTGATGTTAGGAATTGCTGTTTATGACTGACACACAGCCTATGGTGAGATTAGCTTGCTTCCTCGGCCTCCTCCACAGTATTTTCAATTTTCGAGTCTGGAAAGTCTGTCCCAGGAGACGCAGGGGGACTCATTCCAGCACTGCACACCTGTAATGACATAGGAGGTGGTTAATATACAGTAACAAGAGGCCCAGAGGGCCTGTATCGCTCACCTGGAAATGTTAGCAAAATTGAAGTTGGAATGGCTAGATGTTGCTGGTAGTACAGTGTACATGAACTACATGGTTAGTCAGGGGTTATATTTATATTTCTACAGGAAAAGGGGGATTTCGAAGAATTTGCTATGTTTCTCCTATTGGGCCCCGCCCCTCTGCCCCCAGGGGGGTCAGATTCACCTTTGCTACAAAATCAGGTTGCCTTCACCTAATGATGCTTTAGACCAAATATGGACATTATCCTGTCATTCTTACAGAAGAAGAATGATTTTAAAGCTATTTTTCTATTTTTCCTATTTGGTCCTGCCCCTCTGCCCCCAGGGGTTCAAACCCACCAATTATACAAAAATTGATTTCCCTTTCAAATAGGATGCAACTGTTCAAATTTGGTCAAAATAACTTCATCCTAACGGAAGAAAAAAGGATATTAAAGCTATTCCTCTATATCCCTTATTGGGCCCCACTTCTCTTCCCCCAGGGGGGTCAGACCCACAGTTTATACAATATTGGTTCCCCTTCACCCAAGGATGCTTCATACCAAATTTGGACAAAATCCTGTCATTCCTACAGAAGAAGAAGGATTTTGAAGAATTTGCTATGTTTCCCCTATAGGGCCCCGCTCCTCTGCCCCCAGGAGGGACAGACCCACCGTTTATACAAAATTGAGTCCCCTTGGCCCAAAGATGCTCCAGGTTTAATTCGGATAAAATCTTTTAATCCCTATGGTAGAAGAAGGATTTTAATAAAATCCTTTAATCCCTATGGTAGAAGAAGGATTTTAAAGATTTACTTCTATTTCCCCTATTGGGCCCTGCCCCTCTGTCCCCAGGGGGGCCACACCCACCATTTATAAAAAATTGAGTCATCTTGGCCCAAGGATGCTCCAGACTAAATTAGGAATAAACCCCTTAGTCCCTATGTTAGAAGAAGGATTTTAAAGGTTTACCCTCTATTTCCCCTACTGGGTCCCGCCCCTCTGCCCCCTGGGGGACCACACCCACTGCTTATACCAAATTGATTTCCCTTGGCCCAAGGATGCTCCAGATTAAATTACGATAAAATCCCTTAATCCCTACAGTAGAAGAAGGATTTAAAGGTTTTACCACTATTTCCCCTTTTTGGCCCCGACCTTCTGTCCCTAGGGGAGCCACACCCACCATTTATACAAAATTGAGTCCCCTTGGCCTAAGGATGCTCAAGACCAAATTTAGTCAAAATCTACTTGGCCGTTCAGGACAATGAGCATTTTTAAAGAAAAGTTGACGGACGGACGCTGCGGTATTGCATAAGCTCACCATGGTTCTTCTGACCAGGTGAGCTTAAAACTATACTCATACTGACCCATTAATGACCATCCTCTACCTTAAAGGACCACTCCAGCAAAACTTGTCTAAAGCTATTGCTGTGTCCGACGCCCCTTGTCTTATTGAACAACTGCAACAAAATCTATCTAAGAGATTGCTGTGTCCAACACCCCCCCGTCTTATTGGACAACTGTAACAAAATCTATCTTAAGAGATTGCTGTGTTTGACACCCCCTGTCTTATTGGACAACTGCAACAAAATCTGTCTGAAGAGATTGGTGTGTCCAACACACCCTTGTCTCATTAGACAACTGTAACAAAATCTATCTGAAGAGATTGCTGTGTTCGTCACCCCCTGTCTTATTGGACAACTGCAACAAAATCTGTCTAAAGAGATCAGTGTGTCCGACACCCCTCGTCTTATTGGACAACTGCAACAAAATCTGTCAGAAAAGATTGGTGTGTCCGACACACCCCCCTATAATTAGACAACTGTAACAAAATCTATCTTAAGAGATTGCTGTGTCCAACCAACCCCCCCCTCCCCCCCCCTGTCTTATTGGACAACTGCAACAAAATCTGTCTAAAGAGATCAGTGTGTCCGACACCCCTCGTCTTATTGGACAACTGCAACAAAATCTGTCTGCAGAGATTGGTGTGGCCAACACCCCCTGTCTCATTAGACAACTGTAACAAAATCTATCTTAAGAGATTGCTGTGTCCAACCAACCCCCCCCTCCCCCCCCCTGTCTTATTGGACAACTGCAACAAAATATGTCTGAAGAGATTGGTGTGGCCAACACCCCCTGTCTCATTAGACAACTGTAACATAATCTATCTTAAGAGATTGCTGTGTCCAACCAACCCCCCCCTCCCCCCCCCTGTCTTATTGGACAACTGCAACAAAATATGTCTGAAGAGATTGGTGTGGCCAACACCCCCTGTCTCATTAGACAACTGTAACATAATCTATCTTAAGAGATTGCTGTGTCCAACCAACCCCCCCCTCCCCCCCCCTGTCTTATTGGACAACTGCAACAAAATATGTCTGAAGAGATTGGTGTGGCCAACACCCCCTGTCTCATTAGACAACTGTAACAAAATCTATCTTAAGAGATTGCTGTGTTTGACACCCCCTGTCTTATTGGACAACTGCAACAAAATCTGTCTGAAGAGATAAGTGTGTCCGACACCCCTCGTCTTATTGGACAACTGCAACAAAATCTGTCTAAAGAGATCAGTGTGTCCGACACCCCTCGTCTTATTAGACAACTGCAACAAAATCTGTCAGAAAAGATTGGTGTGTCCGACACACCCCCCTATAATTAGACAACTGTAACAAAATCTATCTTAAGAGATTGCTGTGTCCAACCAACCCTCCCCTCCCCCCCCCTGTCTTATTGGACAACTGCAACAAAATCTGTCTGAAGAGATTGGTGTGGCCAACACCCCCTGTCTCATTAGACAACTGTTAAAAAATCTATCTTAAGAGATTGCTGTGTCAGACATCCTTCGTCTTATTGGACAACTGCAACAAAATATATCTCAAGAGATTGCTGTGTTCGACACCTCCTGTCTTATTGGACAACTGCAACAAAATCTGTCTAAAGAGATCAGTGTGTCCGACACCCCTCGTCTTATTGGACAACTGCAACAAAATCTGTCTGAAGAGATTGGTGTGTCCAACACCCCCCTGTCTCATTAGACAACTGTAACAAAATCTATCTTAAGAGATTGCTGTGTCCAACCAACCAACCCCCCCCCCCTCCCCGTCTTATTGGACAACTGTATCAAAATCTATCTTAAGAGATTGGTGTGTCAGACATCCCTCGTCTTATTGGACAACTGCAACAAAATATATCTTAAGAGATTGCTGTGTTCGACACCCCCTGTCTTATTGGACAACTGCAACAAAATATGTCTAAAGAGATCAGTGTGTCCAACACCCCTCGTCTTATTGGACAACTGTAACAAAATATATATTAAGAGATTGCTGTGTCGGGCGTCCCCCGTCTTATTGGACAACTGCAACAAATGGTGTGTCCAACACACCCTTGTCTCATTAGACAACTGTAACAAAATCTATCTTAAGAGATAGACATCCTTCGTCTTATTGGACAACTGCAACAAAATATGTCTAAAGCGATCAGTGTGTCCAACACCCCTCGTCTTATTGGACAACTGCAACAAATGGTGTGTCCAACACACCCTTGTCTCATTAGACAACTGTAACAAAATCTATCCTAAGAGATTGGTGTGTCCGACACCCCCCCGTCTCATTAGACAACTGTATCAAAATCTATCTTAAGAGATTGGTGTGTCAGACATCCCTCGTCTTATTGGACAACTGCAACAAATTCTGTCTAAAGAGATCAGTGTGTCAGACACCCCTCGTCTTATTGGACAACTGCAACAAAACATGTCTAAAGAGATCAGTGTGTCAGACACCCCTCGTCTTATTGGACAACTGCAACAAATGGTGTGTCCAACACACCCTTGTCTCATTAGACAACTGTAACAAAATCTATCCTAAGAGATTGCTGTGTTCGACACCCCCTGTCTTATTGGACAATTGCAACAAAATCTGTCTAAAGAGATCAGGGTGTCCGACACCCCTCGACTTATTGGACAACTGCAACAAAACATGTCTAAAGAGATCAGTGTGTCCGCCGCCCCTCGTCTTATTGGACAACTGCAACAAAACATGTCTAAAGAGATCAGTGTGTCAGACACCCCTCGTCTTATTGGACAACTGTAACAAAATATATCTTAAGAGATTGCTGTGTTCAACACCCCCTGTCTTATTGGACAACTGCAACAAAATCTATCTAAGAGATTGCTGTGTCCAACCAGACCCCTCCCCCTGTCTCATTAGACAACTGTAACAAAATCTATCCTAAGAGATTGCTGTGTTCGACACCCCCTGTCTTATTGGCCAACTGCAACAAAATATGTCTAAAGCGATCAGTGTGTCCAACACCCCTCGTCTTATTGGACAACTGCAACAAAACATGTCTAAAGAGATCAGTGTGTCCGGCACACCTCGTCTTATTGGACAACTGTAACAAAATATATATTAAGAGATTGCTGTGTCGGGCGTCCCCCGTCTTATTGGACAACTGCAACAAAATCTGTCAGAAAAGATTGCTGTGTCCAACCAGACCCCTCCCCCTGTCTCATTAGACAACTGTAACAAAATCTATCCTAAGAGATTGGTGTGTCCGACACCCCCCCGTCCCATTAGACAACTGTAACAAAATCTATCCTAAGAGATTGCTGTGTTCGACACCCCCTGTCTTATTGGACAACTGCAACAAAATATGACTAAAGAGATCAGTGTGTCCAACACCCCACGTCTTATTGGACAACTGTAACAAAATATATATTAAGAGATTGCTGTGTCGGGCGTCCCCCGTCTTATTGGACAACTGCAACAAATTCTGTCTAAAGAGATCAGTGTGTCAGACACCCCTCGTCTTATTGGACAACTGTAACAAAATATAACTTAAGAGATTGCTGTGTCGGGCGTCCCCCGTCTTATTGGACAACTGTATCAAAATCTATCCTAAGAGATTGGTGTGTCCGACACCCCCCCGTCTCATTAGACAACTGTAACAAAATCTATCATAAGAGATTGCTGTGTTCGACACCCCCTGTCTTATTGGACAATTGCAACAAAATCTGTCTAAAGAGATCAGTGTGTCCGACACCCCTCGTCTTATTGGACAACTGCAACAAAATCTATCTAAAGAGATCAGTGTGTCCACCACCCCTCGTCTTATTGGACAACTGCAACAAATTCTGTCTAAAGAGATCAGTGTGTCCGGCACACCTCGTCTTATTGGACAACTGCAACAAATGGTGTGTCCAACACACCCTTGTCTCATTAGACAACTGTAACAAAATCTATCCTAAGAGATTGCTGTGTTCGACACCCCCTGTCTTATTGGACAATTGCAACAAAATCTGTCTAAAGAGATCAGGGTGTCCGACACCCCTCGACTTATTGGACAACTGCAACAAAACATGTCTAAAGAGATCAGTGTGTCAGACACCCCTCGTCTTATTGGACAACTGCAACAAATTCTGTCTAAAGAGATCAGTGTGTCCAACACCCCACGTCTTATTGGACAACTGTAACAAAATATAACTTAAGAGATTGCTGTGTCGGGCGTCCCCCGTCTTATTGGACAACTGCAACAAAACATGTCTAAAGAGATCAGTGTGTCCACCACCCCTCGTCTTATTGGACAACTGCAACAAAATCTATCTAAGAGATTGGTGTGTCGACACCCCCCCATCTTATAGGACCAAATCTATGATATAATGCAATTTACAGAGGAAAATAATATACCGCCCAGAGGGCCTGTATCGCTCACCTGGAAATGTTAGCAAAATTGACGTGATTATAGCCAGATGTTGCTGGTAGTGTACATGTATTACCTGTGTCCGACATCCCCTGTCTTGTTGGACAACTGCAACAAAATCTATCTAAAGAGATCAGTGTGTCCAACACCCCACGTCTTATTGGACAACTGTAACAAAATATATATTAAGAGATTGCTGTGTCGGGCGTCCCCCGTCTTATTGGACAACTGCAACAAATGGTGTGTCCAACACACCCTTGTCTCATTAGACAACTGTAACAAAATCTATCCTAAGAGATTGGTGTGTCCGACATCCCTCGTCTTATTGGACAACTGTAACAAAATATATATTAAGAGATTGCTGTGTCGGGCGTCCCCCGTCTTATTGGACAACTGCAACAAAATATATCTTAAGAGATTGCTGTGTCCGACATCCCCTGTCTTGTTGGACAACTGCAACAAAATCTATCTAAGAGATTGGTGTGTCGACACCCCCCCATCTTATAGGACCAATATAGCCATATCTGTCTCGAGTGATTAGCGATTCAGACCAAATACACTTAAAATAGATGTCATGACCTACCTCATTGGTTAGACTGGCTTTCACCTCGCCTGCTGACCTCTGTGTTGGACTGACCGGAGGTGTGGTAGGTTGTTGTTGAGGCGATATTTTGGGAGTTTTGGATGAATTGTCCTCCTGGATTTGCATATGGTATTTATATAGGGTCTCCGTGCTAGATATCTGGCCTGAGGTTGAAAAAAAGTATACCATATAGTCTCCCCAAAATGTAAACCATATAGTCTCCCCAAAAAGGATACCAAATAGACTCCCTAAAAAGTATACCATATAGTCTCCCCAAAAAGTATACCATATAGTCTGCCCAAAATGTATACCATATAGTCTCCCCAATATATATACCACATAGTCTCCCCAAAAAGTATACCATATAGTCTTCCCAAAATGTATACCATATAGTCTCCCCAAAATATATACCATATAGTCTCCCCAATATATATACCACATAGTCTCCCCAAAAAGTATACCATATAGTCTGCCCAAAATGTATACCATATAGTCTCCCCAAAATGTATACCATATAGTCTCCCAAAAATATATACCATATAGTGTCCCCAAAAAGTATACCATATAGTATTCCCAAAATGTATACCATATAGTCTCCCCAAAATATATACCATATAGTCTCCCCAATATATATACCATATAGTCTCCCCAAAAAGTATACCATATAGTCTCCCCAAAATGTATACCATATAGTCTCCCCAAAACATATTTTTACACACTTCTGGACCATTATTTATATGAACACATCTTAATTGTTTCATATTAATGCAGTTTATTGATAATCAAAACAAGAAACCTTTAAAATGAACAATGACTTTTACTTGCAGTGTGAATGCTGCATTTTGATAAAATTGTTACATTACTTTTTAAAAAAGTGTTCAAGAAGTCATATAACAATAGAACAAGGTATCACTAGTCTCGCCATATGTAGTAGTCACTTAACATAACAAGAGGCCCAGAGGGCCTGTATCGCTCACCTGGAAATGTTAGCAAAATTGAAGTGATAATAGCCAGATGTTGCTGGTAGTGTACATGTATTACATGGTTAGTCAGGGGTTATATTTATATGCAATTGGACAAAATCTTGTCATTCCTAAAATAAAAGCAGGATTTCGAAGAATTTGCTATATTTCCCCTATTGGGCCACGCCCCTCTGCCCCCAGGGGGGTCAGACCCATCGTTCATACAAAATTAGGTCCCACCTAAGGATGCTTTAGACCAAATATGGACATAATCCTGTTATTCCTACAGAAGAAGAAGGATTTAAAAGCTATTTTTCCTCTTTGGCCCTGCCTCACTGCCAAACAGGGGGGGTG